ACCGCAACCCTGTTATTTTTTTAAGGTAATAATTCAGTCATTTATCTGGCAATATGTCTCTTTCCAAAATGTAACTTTTGGTGCTATATGTGTTTGTCATGGAGGCCTTGGGGTGAAAAAAAAACCCAAGCTGCAGTTGTTGAGAAAAGTCCAAAGGTTGTAGATTAGGAACCTTTTGGCGGAATTTATTCTGGCATACGCTAAATGAATCAATCGTTTTGATCTCAGAGTCAGCCAGCAGACGGAAGGGTTGTATATTGTTTATTAAACCATGATTCTTTCTCTAGCAAAGTTTCAATACTCCTTAATTTAGAGGTGCTGCAATGGAAGCCTGTAAGGTGTTAGGATCAAGCCTGGTTATCTATCACCATTGATTATGTGGGTTAGGGCTGATGGGTGTTGTGATCCAAAAGCTTTTGGATGGGCACAGATTCCCTATCCCTGATTTTCAGGTCTGCTTAGATGCCTTTATCTAATGTGTGATTAATTTGATTTCCACTTAGTAAATGTCTGGATCAAGCTTTAAAATACAAAGCCTACAGACTTATCTTATGGAGTTAATATTGCTTGTTCTTTGACATTAGAATCTGGAAATATTTACATTTTTTGAACTAAAACAATCCAGTAAGCATGGCCAGTGCTCCCTGCAATTCTGGGAGTTGTAGTCCAAAAAATGTAATTCTGCCAATCTTCAGAGTTCATCCACAGCTCACTCATAATGCATAATAATTTACTGTATGCAAGATAGCAACATTTATATCGGAACACATCCGGCACTTCAGCTACCCAAAGTAGAAACTTTATAAGCTTTCACTTCATCCTGCTATTGAAGTTTGTTCTTTTGAAGCCAAGCGCACAGCCCTGTCTTTTGAATAGTGATCCCTGAGTTGTTTTTTTCTTCCTGTTACATACGGCTCAGATACGGGTCTTTCAGCTTTATGATCCTGTCAAACCAAAAAGACACAGTTTGGCAGGAAGCAGGTGAAAGGATGGAGAGCTAGAGGTTACAAAATAAGCTGCGCTTTCTCTTAAGAGCTCTAATAACCCTTGAAATAACAGAAATAACATTTGGGCCATCTGGTCCAGCCCTCACTAACCAATCTGGGGTGCAGGCTGCAATGGTGGACAAATACTGCTACTTTCCTCGTGCCCCTGATTATCAGCGCCACCCATGCTGCTGGCCTGCCCAGATTCTGGCATCCCATCTTCATTGTACAGGCACTGGAATCCATCATAGAATTCATCAGAGTCTTGCATGTCGTCTTCATGGGCTTTGGCATGGAGAGGCTGGGAAGCCCCCGGGCCAGGCCCACTCCCTTCAACCCGTAAGTTCATTTGCATTGTTTTCTTCATGGTGGAGTCACAGCACGGTGACCTTCCATCCAGGTGAGTATGGATGCTTTGGTTTGCAGGGTGGAAAATATAAACAGCATTGGATGTGTGGAAGCCCAGGAGCTGCTGATCAGCAAGCTCTTTGCAATGGATGAATTGAGCACTGTCAATCTGGAATGCAATATATAACAAAAGCTATTTCTCCCTTGCTTGTGAAAGTACTTGCTTATTGCTGTCAGATCTCATTAACTGATGTGTAATTGCAAGCACCAGCAGATGGCATTTTTTAGTTTCAACATCTCTGGGTGGACAGTTATATTTACAAGGCCAAGTCATAGTGCAGGGGGATATACAGAATGCAGCCAGCACTCATTAGCTTCCGTCAAGCTTCATATAGTCAGTGGGAAGTCCTCATACAGTTTGCAACCAGGCTCTGACATAACATGAAATTGTGATTTTTATTTTCCAGGTCTGAAGCTGAGCCTGCTATAAACCATAGCAGGTTTGCTTTGGACCAGCAAATCCAAAATGGTTACTACAGTTTGAAGCTGGTTTGCAAATGCCTATGATTTGCTATGATATCTGAATTCACATATCACAGTTAGAGCTGTTTCCCCCCTTGCACTAGGGAAATGAGAGTAAAACTCCCATCTCCCTGGAAAATTCAAAGAAAGAAAGATAGAAAATTCAAACAAACAAGCAAACAAGCAGGTCAAAAATCAGGTTTGTCTCGTTTGTGTGGACAGTGAAACTACAACAATGGTTTATAACCATGGTTGGCAAAAGCCACAGTTTCACATTGTGTCTGACTCCTGCCTCTGGCTATTATAGAGGTACCAACAAATGACACTGTGCCAAGAGAGAACTTGATATGCTGTGATCTGCCACTAAAATTATGCAATATTCCTGCTAAATCACTGAATTCTATTCTTGAAAAGTGGTATCCTTTAACAGCCACTGTAGAGCTTGAAAGGGCAAGGGGAAAGTCGATACAGAGGAGAAGTTCCCATTGTGCCACAGAAGGGGGTGAGGCGGGGAACCTGTAGTCCTCTAGATCAGTGGTTCCCAAACTTGGGTCCCCAGAAGTACTTGGATTGCAACTCCCAGAAATCCTGGTCAACACAAGTGGTGGTGAAGGCTTCTGTGAATTTTAGTCCAAGAACATCTGGAGATCTAGGAACCATTGTTTTACATTAAGCTCAAATGGCCACCAGTCCCAGTGTGCATGGTTACAACTGATAATGGGAGCTGATGTCCAGGAATGTCTGGAGGACCGGAGCTTCCCCATCAGTCTCAAACATATTATTGTGCAGGGAAAGGCAAGGTGAAAAACCACTGAACCCAAATGAAGACCCATACGTTGAAGAACCTGTGGCCTTCCAGATGCTGAGACAATGCCAATGGCAAAGTACGACTGGAGTAGCAATTCATCTCCAGTTGGACGGTCTCAGGTCTCGAGCCATGATTTTACAGGGCTGACTGCTGGAACATTCGATTTAGAGAATTATAGCAGCTTCTACCACCCCATCTTCCCGCTTTCCTAAGTCTTCATTTGGAGCATGGCCTAGTGAATTATAGTCATGTGAGATTTATTAAACTGACTGTGAAGCCAAAGCATGTGACAGGTTACAGAAAAGGTTTTGACAAATTCTCAGCAGCTTGAACAATTGTGGTCCTGCTGCTTAGGTGAAAACATCTGGAGTTCAGGCTGGACAGTGTTGGAATTGTGGTTCCAAATGAAGTACAATGCCGTCATGTATTGCATAACCTAATAATGGGCTTTGAATGGTTACTTCTTACTAGGATAATAACTGCTCCTCTGCCAAAACTTAGATGGAATTTGCATCCTGCAGAAATGGCATCCTAACAAAGATATGGGAACGCTCCTGAGAAGTACATATTGCAAAACATCCAAGAGTTTTTGAAGTGTTCATGAGGTTTCTTCTTTTTTTAAAAGACGTGCGCTCTGAGAGAAGCCTACCTCTGTGACACCTACCTGTGCTTTCTTTAGCAGATCAGTTATGACAGGAAACCAGTCAGGCGTCAGCCTCTCCAACTCCAAGGTGATGATCACCAAAGCCAATGTGGAGCCCTTGAACTGCAATACTTGGTGGCATGCCATACAGTGCTGTAGCTGTTTGGTCAAGAACGCGACATGGCGGGAAGGATTCCTCTGAGGCAGCCCATTTAGTAGATGGGGCCACTTGGACATCACCATGGCATGGAACTGGAGAGAAGAGATATTTATTTATATTACATATAGACGTATAGATATATATATATATCTTTGAAACACACACACATACAGAGATATATTAAAAACAAGGCATATGTCAAACAGCAAACTTTGTACGTTTTCATATGTTATTGACCAGAAGTGCAAACTAATTCTTATTCATGGCAGAAAACCTCTGAAGTTATTTATTTTTGTTCCACTGTTACCATTTGTGTCGTACTTGCCAAATATTGAAATGTTGATGCTTTTACTGAATGTAACTAATTCTGAATGCATTGCATTGTCGCAATTGTAAATTCAGAACCTTTTACTTCTTCTTTGTATATTCAAGAAATTGTGATATTAAAGCCAGTTACTAGGAAGAATTTGGGGGGGGGGAATTAACTGACAGTGGCTGAAGCAAAGTGAACAGTCTCAACGTCCAGCTTGTGAGTGGACATCGCCCTAGCCAGACGTGATGGTGGGATGAAACAAGCACCCACCCTTTGTCATTAACAAGCAATTTGACAAGCTCTGAGACACTGTCCTATCACATGATTTTTTTTGCCTTACTATATAGCACACGGCTGACTTCTTAAAGGGGAGTTTTCTTTCTATAAATGTTTAGCAAATAAGATGTGACTTAAGTGCCAGATCAGAATGATCTATTTTGACTGAAATGAGGGTCCAAAGTGTTTATGCAGGGTGAACAAAAGAAAACTGATCTGATGAGATGTCCTGTTTGTGAAATGTAGCAAAACTCTGAAAGCTTTTTATGTACAGTATTGAAAGAGTGCAGATAGCTAGAAATATTTTTGCAGTGCATTTAAACAGACAAAAAGACCTCTAGTGGTACAGGATAAATATCTTTTTAAAAGGCTGTTTTAGTTGCCCTTTCAAAATGAGAGTCTGTGGTCATTTGTAAATCAGACTCCTTCAGTTGGAATATTTGGGGGGGGGCATTACTTTGTTTCAAAAGGCTTGCAGATAGCTACAGATGTGCTGTCTGTGAGGCTAATTAGAAGGAAATATATAAAGGAAAATTAATTAGAAGGAAATATATAAAGGAAACCTTAGCTGTCTTATTTGGCACAAAAAAAAGAGATGTTTAGCACTTACAATGTTTACAAAATCCATTGATGTTGCTGTGTAAAGATCCCAGTGAAGCTTATCAAGTATAATTCTTTCCATTCTCAAAATCTCAGCTGGAGAACATTTACAACCACTCTGCGCCACAAATGTCTTTACTGATGGTATTATCTGTTTTAAACAGAAAGAAAAATAAAAGAAGCCCAATTCTTATGAGATTGTCTGTGGTGATCCTATGTGTGTGTAATCTGAAAAGAATGAAGACTTCATTGTTAAAGGGTTGACATGAGTAACAACCAAGCAGTCCTTGCAGTAATTCCTCTCAGAAATACAAAAAATATATGGTACCCCAGCCCGTTCGTTACAGAGCAGTATTTCCAGATGTAGCAATAAAACAAATTAGCTCCATGAACTTACTTCCCTTTTATGTAAATACATATCTTGATGTTCTGCAACATATCTGTTGCAGCAGTGTTATAATGTTTGGCGTTATCTGCTTACAGTATTTGATTAAACATTAATCAACAACATCAGTGACACAGATCCAACTGACAAAAACAGTGTGTATAAAATACTGGGGGCTAAGTTAAGTCTGGACACTATTCCTTGGAGTCTTTTGGGAACTGAAGAGCTGTCTGTGTCAGTTGAAAAGCAAAGGAAGGTTTGCTGCTCATAAGAAATCCAAAATTCATTTCAAGATAATTCCTTTGATGAAGCCAACCAAAATGCCACAAAATACTTTCAAGATCATCAGAACCGTCCGCCAGGTTAGACAGTTAAAAAAGCAAGAGACAAAAGAGAAGACAAACTAGCTGGTGTTAAATCCATTAAGTTACAATCTTTAGGTGGAACAGGAAAAGATTTAGCAGACATTCAGATTAGTCTCTGGCTGAAATGTTGTTGTGCAGCTCCACTGGTGCAGTGGGAAAGATGTCATGGCCTATGGCGGATTGCTGCCAATTAATTTTTTTTTCCAATTTGGGGGTATACATGACTCACACAGAATATGACAAAGCCACACACACCCTGAAATTGCAAAAGGAAGTCTTCAGTTAGTGATACTGTGCTGCTGTGCCTTTTGCACAGAGAAACTGAGGTGTCAACAAAATAAGATTTTGGGCATTGTCTATTAGGTGCTCTGATTATTTGCACACCTCTCCCTAGGGAATTGCCAATAGAAAGAAATTTGTAGTAGCTTAATTGCATATTTCTGAAAATGGGGAGGGGAGGTCCAAACAGCTATAACATCTTCAGAAATGAGGGATCAAGCATCTTCTGTTTCTTCATTCTAGGAAACTCAGGGGCAACCCACAGCCATCAGAGCACCTAACAGGCTTCATCAAATTTGAATGTCTTGCTACATTCTGCCAAATTACATGTTTAAGGCTGTGACTGAATACAATCTCCATAGCTTTCCATTCCAGCCAGTCCCCACCCCTTTATTCGCATCAAAACGTCTGATGAAGAGTTCTTGAGATCTTGAAACGAGGTACTTTCTCTTGGGATAGCGACCTCAAATAGAATGACACACCTGATAACAGCAACATGCTTATACTGGAATTGCACCTGACAGGTGGCCTCTTGGGACAGATGGGCACCAACGGTCTACACAGGATGCTGTTCACTACATTTACTCCCACAGCAGATTAGGTCATTGCAACTATATCGGTTTTTAGTCCCCAAAGAGGAAAAAAAACTACCAGTGACAGGGCTGGTAGGGCCGGCAGAACGGCAGCACAAATTAATAACAGCTGAAATAAAAAGGAAAGCAGGTCTCCACCATCAGTTTCTCAGAGAAATATAAAATTATTTCATATACCATATTTTTCTGTGTATAAAATGACACCTTTTCCTTAAACAATTACACAAAAAATTGAGGATTGTTTTATACATGGAAGGCAGCCGTTTTCCCTCCCTTTTGCAAAGCTACGGCGCTTAGCAAAAAGGAAGGGAAGGTTCCCTTCGGGTAAAGCATTGGTGAAAGGGCTTCAGGATCTTAGGGCTACGATCGTGCAGCCATTTCACAGCAGTGTTACCCACTTCCTAAGCCCCGCAGGGATCAAATGTTATAATTTGGGGGTTAGAAAAGGGGGGGTCGTCTGGTGAAAGGGCTTCAGGATCTTAGCGCTACGACCATGCAGCCATTTCACAGCTGCGTTACCCACTTCTTAAGCCCCGCGGGGAATCAAATGTTATAATTTGGGGGTTAGAAGAGGGGGGGTCATCTTATACAATGGGTCATCTTATAAACGGAAAAAATACGGTACCTATATGATGGCTAGAGCCAACATGTAATAGAGGAGAGAAGACACAGTACCTCCTGTTAGCTTACTGGACTGAAAACCAAACCTACCTCATCTTCTTCATTGATTTTTGCTGCAAGAACCAGGCATGCTATTGCAATACATCGGAGGTACTTTAACTGGGCCTGAAGCAAAAAACAGAAGGGGGTGAAAAGGGAAAGAATGAGGGACAGTACCCAAGTAGAAGAAGAAGGACTGAAAATAAAGCAAATGAACCAGCTCAGTCCAAGGATCTGTGCTGGCCCGCTGTATGGGCAACAATAACAGCAATCTGTCAGCAAGTGAAAGACCCCAGTTCTGCAGGAGCATTCTTGAAGCCTGAAGTTCAAGGCGACACTGTCCAAAGCAGAATGTCCTCAACGTAATACAGAAGAGCATGATACAGTGGCTTCCTATCCCCTGAACGTTTACATCACCTGATTTCAGCAGCAGGAATGCTGCTCCTTAGCATAGTTGTGTTCCATCGAAATGGAAGGGGGTAGGTTTGGAGGGTAGGGACACGACAGGGAGGGCAGGGCCAGCAAATGTGTTCCCGGCCTCACTCTCACACAATCAATGCTCATTACATGAGGAAGGGGGCAAGGTTGTCACAGGTAAGCTTCTGGAGCAAAGGCAGCATAGAGAGGCCCACTACCCATCCAGGGTGTTCCATTGTACAAGTTATGTAGCCAAATCACAGATGGACAGCAGAAAAATGCAATCTAAAGTCTATTTGAATCTGATCAGAAAACTGCATGACTTCCATATATGAGGTACACAAAGACCATGGTTCTTTAAAAACAACAACAGAACTCCTTATTGCCACTGGCTGCGTGATTTTTCACTAAATCAAGGTCCCTGACATTTTATCAGTATGACACAATTTAGAAGATCGGGGGCATCCTATTATGTGCTATATAGAATTTCAGTGTTGCATACGAGGGGTGGCCAATCCCCAGAGATCCAGGGCTATACAGTACATCCCTATCCTTGCATTTTGGAGGGCTACATCCACGCCTGTGAAATTCTCCTCAAATATTTTTCCTACACCAATATGGGTGTAATTAATCTGGGGAAAAAAAAAAGCCTTGTACCCTGCAATGGATAGCTCAGTGTTGGTCTAGGCATCTGGCTGCAGAGCACAGGTTGGGAGTTCAGTTCCTCACTGTGCTTCCTTGATGGAGGCTGGAGTCAATGATTCATAGAGTCACATCCAGCTCTTCAGTTCTAAGATTATGATGATGAAATGGGTTTATGGTCCCCTAAACATAAACTGTTGCCCCCTACTCCCCTACAGGGCACAAGAAGCCCTTTATGAACAAAAAAAAAACATTAAAAAATTAAAACTTTCCAAAGTGTGTATAGAAATGCTATATTTGGGCCCCCAGCAGATGCATGTCTCCCACCCTGTTGTGCCCAAGTGCTTTGTAAGCAGTATAGGAAATGCCATCCTATAGGCTTCAAAGAGAGTCCCACTAAATTCAAAGGAGCATTCTACCTAGTCAGTGCATTTAGGATTGCAGTCTAATCCACAGATAGGATTCAAAACCCCACATTATCTTTCTCTTTATGGTTTTCCATAAATGTCCTTCGCTATTTTGATTCTTCTCTCTAAGATAGTCTGTATTTTGTACACATGGGAATCCAGGTTCGACACGCGTGTGTGTGTGTGTTTTTTTAATAAGAAAAGAACAGACATACACTGTATGTGTACCTTCCGCTGTCAAATGCACAGGAGCAGGAGTGCAAAATGCTGAGTACTGTACTACTGATTCCAAAACTTCTGCCATCTTCTGCGCACAGGACACCGTGGCTTGAATCCAGACTTAGTTACTGGCTAAAATCTTATTGCCAATTTATGCTTGCATTAGGAAAATTATGCAAATCTTAGCAGCAATTTACACAAAAAGTGACAACAGGATTCAGTGGCCACTGAATGACAAATTGTACACACACCACAACTAATTTATTGCATTGATTTCAACCAGACCCAAGTTCAAATAACTACGGTTGTAGTCTTGTAATCCCTATTGAACACCATGAGTCTTATTTCTGTCTGAAATTTCCTTGTGCTCCTCTCATGGAAAATATAACTGAATGGAGTAAGACTTATTTCTGAGTAGACATGCCTAAGACTGTGCGATACGGACCTAACCTCCTTAGGTTACAGGTTACCCACAGTATCCCCAGCACATGTTACACTGCAAATAAAAACAATTGGGAGAGGATGGAAATTTACCTTCACCGATGCCAGCAAACGGTTCAGAAAACTGATTGCCAAGGCCAAGGTTTCGGGGCAAAACTGGAAGAGTGAGTTCAATTCTTCGATCCACAAAACTGCTTTCTCATAATGTCGTGAGGAAATGTCTGTGCCCTACAATGGAAGAACTAGGATTAAAACACAAAAACAATCACTTGGGATTCCCCAGAATTCAAAGTGTTTTTGTGAGCAAGGCTAGAAATAGATTTAAATTTATTGGCTAAAACCCTGTTGCTTAGTGCAATAAACTACAGCTACAGTAGTCCCGTTGAATCAGTGGGATTTGGTGAGCCATCTCTTAGTTTATTCAATGGATCTACTCTAGTTGCAACGTACTACACTAAGAAACACAATTTTCAGCCACTGATGCTGTATAAATTTTTTAAGCCCACACATCCAAAAGGATGTGAGATTTTGGTCTAGCTTTTAATTGTTAGTTGTGATCAGGACATGATGAAAAACAGACAGAGACAGACCCTTGCACTACATTTACCACAAGAGTCAGAGGATCTGTGGCACAATGGTAACTTTTTAATTGAGGCCATTTACTGGGCGTTCCCTCAGCTACATCTCCAATAAGAGGCCCCAACCACAGTCATTTATTTTGATCCATGTCAACAAATCATTCTAGCAGTTTCCATATTTACAATGAACAAGTCTTTTGTGAACTTAATCGATCTCAATTGCCCATTCAAAACACATTACAACAGAGATAGCTCACAAAAAGACATCCTTGCTGGGACACACACACACACACACACACAGAGAGAGAGAGAGAGAGAGAGAGAGAGAGAGAGAGGTAAAGTTGAAGAAAGTAAGAACTGAGAATTTTTTTCCTCCAGATTCAGTCTTGGGAAGAATTCTGTTGCCACGTAAACAGTATTAAGGATATGTAAAGCTATTCAATGTCCATCTGCTGAATGAGGGACATGCATGTCAGTGCCTAACTATCAGACTAAGGCTGGGACAGATAAATCCAGCAATGGCTATTTCTCAAATGCAAGGTGAGTCATGTAATCAGTAATCATCACGGACACACTTTTTACACGTCGCCTGAAGGAACATACCTTTAATGTGAAATTGTGGAAAATGGGCACCTTCCAAACCTTTGCCTCTCTTGCCAGGGCATGCTCCAGCACCAAGTCAAATTTCTGGCTCTCTATAGACTCTGTGCACTTCATTGCAGTTACTGAATAACCCTGTCTTCTGGACAGGAAACACTACCTGCAAGCAAAAGAACAACATTTCCTTGTTTCATTCCCAGACAACATTCTCCTGAGTCAATGTGTCTATTTCCTCATTATAGCTCATTATAGCACAGGAGATGGGCCTCTTCAGATGTTTTTGAACTGCAACTCCAATCAGTCCTAGCCAGCATCCCCAATGGTGAGGGATGGGGTAATTCCCAGCTAGCCTAAACCAAGAGCAAGACCATATAGCTTTGCTTCAGATGATCAGCAGGATACATCAGTAAAGATAACACTGTCACATGTACAGAAGCCCTGCAGAATGATAATGAATGTGGCTTCAAAAAGGCAAGCCTTGTCTCACTGACAATTAAGAGTTCTCTGAAAGCACTGATGTATGTGTGGATAGGAGCGAATGGCACACTCTGTCTAACTAGGTTTCCAAAAGACTTTTGACACGGTCCCACACCAAAGACTCCTGAAAGAAGTCCTCTTCAGGGCTGAAAACTGATAAAAGAACTGGGAGCACAGTGTAGGGATAGAAGGGGGGGGTCCTGCAACAGAGGGATATGAGCAGTGAGGTCCCTTGAGGATCTATACTAAGACTAGAACTTTCTAACCAGTTCAAAAATGACCTTGAGTTAGAAAGAGTATTGTGGTCTATTTTGATGGTTATGCTCCAAATCCTCCAAGGTATTCTTCAGCAGTAAGTGGACGGAGAACTCTCAGAAGTAAAGCTGGATTTTGAAAGGGCAGAGGAACTAGAGACCAAATTGCTAACATGTGCTGGATTATGGACAAAGACAGAGAGTTCCAGAAAAACATCTACTTCTGTTTCATTGACTATCCAAAAGCTTTTGACTGTGTGGACCACAGCAAACTATAGCAAGTCCTTAAAGAAATGGGAGTGCCTGATCACCTTATCTATCTCCTGAGAAACCTATACATGGGACAGGAATCAACAGTTAGAACTGGATATGGAACAACTGATTGGTTCCAAATTGGGAAAGGAGTACGACAAGGCTGTATATTGTCCCCCAGCTTATTTAACTTATATGCAGAATACGTCATGCGAAAGGCCAGACTGGAGGAATCCCAAACCGGAATTAAGATTGCTGAAAGAAATATCGACAACCTCCGATATGCAGATGATACCACTCTGATGGCAGAAAGTGAGGAGGCATTAAGGAACCTTGTAATGAGAGTGAAAGACGAGAGCGCAAAAAATGGTCTGAAGCTCAACATCAAAAAAACTAAGATCATGGCCACTGGTCCCATCACCTCCTGGCAAACAGAAGGGGAAGATATGGAGGAAGTGACAGATTTTACTTTCTTGGTCTCCCTGATCACTGCAGATGGTGACAACAGCCACGAAATTAAAAGACGCCTGCTTCTTGGGAGGAAAGCGATGACAAACCTCGACAGCATCTTAAAAAGCAGAGACATCACCTTGCTAACAAAAGTTCAAATAGTCAAAGCTATTGTTTTTCTTGTAGCGATGTACGGAAGTGAGAGGTGGACCATAACGAAAGCTGACCCCTGAAGACAATTCCCTGTGTTAACGTACTGGCCTCATTTTTGCTGTAACTGACTGGAAACAAGCTTAATGCTTTCTTCTGATGTACAAAGACTTCTGTAAAAGTTCTTTCCCTCCCAACCACTTCCTATAACTTCATTCTACCACATATGAATAACATGCACAGTTCCAGTTTATAAAGTACTGGCACCTCTGATTGGTAAACAAAGTGAAATTAGTTAATACTATACACACAGATATACACATATGTGTGGCTGAAACAATATCAGTAAGTTATCATTATTAACATGATTTCCACATTCCTTGAATTATAAGGACCCGGAATGTGAATATATACAATAGAGTACAGGGGAAGGGTAACCATTTGAAACACACCCACAAAGAAGTATCAGCTCACAAGAGACACTCATGGACCAACACAATACAGGATCCACATGAGCAGAAAAAAACATTGGTGCAAATCAGAGCAATGGGGGACAAAAAATATACTGTACAACCACCTGACAGTTGGGGGGGGGGAATCAACGACACCCTAGAAAGTAAGGCTATTTACTCTGTTTCAACACTATTGATACTGTGTTCAGTTATGTGGACACTAGGAAAAGTAGCAGGGTACAAGAAAAGCTGGAAAGCAGGGGCAGTCAGGCATATTTTGTTTTGGTTCCATACACTGCTGTTTTAAAATGTGTACTGCTGGTGACACATTGAGAACTGAAGCTTTTTTAATGGTATATATTGGACCAACTACAAGAGGAGGTGGAATTAGCCTAAATAATCTATATAAAACCCAAAAACCACTGGGCTTTATATTTTAAAAATATTTTAAATGAAAATTATAGAAACACATTATCATATAGACTTAGAATTTATAATCTCTGTTCCATAGTGATATCTTTAAACTATAATTCATTTTAAATTAACATTCTCATCATGTGGTGTTGTTTTAAAAGGAAAAGGCATTTCAACAATAAAAATCAATCTTCATATTTTTTTAAAAAATTGATTTTTATCCATTCCAGATTTTTTCTCTCACCATATTCCCTTCGTACCTGGGATGTTCAGTGCTCCAGCCACCAGTCGATCCTTGACTGAACCTCAAATAAAATATGAATAAAATCCACTACTAGAAAATCAGATGAGGACAGAGCTCAAGAATTAATGACATCTTGCATCCTCACCCCACTAAGTGATGCATGCAGGTTGACTTTCCAGCATGAATTAGTATTGCTCAGGAGGGATTGCCCTTAATTCTTGGTGTCTAACAAGTCACAAGCCCTGTCAGGGCAACTCCCTTTGGCTAACCCCTGCTAGGTTTAGTCCTGAAAAGTACACTATTTAAAGCCCTCTTCCTCCCGGGCCAGCAGCTCCCCACGACACAGACTTCTGAGAGTGTGCCTTTTGTTTGACTTCTGCTGACGGATTGCACCGCCCTTGCAAAAATTGGGGCCATTTAATGTTCTTTTCTTTCCTCTGCCGTCAACAGGTCCCACACCTGCCCCACGAACGTGGCCGCAAGGCAACGTTACGTTTATAAGGCTCATAAATGTGGAAGTTCAGGGACGCTTTGAAGTCCGGAGCCAAGAGGCGCTTTGTGCACGGAGCCCGTGAAGGGAAAAAGCAACTCCCGGGCCAGAGAGAAACCCCCCCCC